ATCACAGGCGATAACCAGTTTTTTATGAATGGTTTATTTTACCAATCACAGGTGATAACCAGTTTTTTATGAATGGTGTATCTTACCAATCACAGGTGATAACCATTTTTTTATGATATTCAGTAGTCCTACCAAATCACATATTGCGGAAAATTCTCTGAACTAAGATCTCCCTAGAAGAAAAGTCAGCGATGTTTAAACATCAGTAGAAACACTAAGTCTAAATAATGGTGGGACTACAAGCTTAGTGGGCGCTCTCTACAAAATGAAAAGTGCAGTGTACAAGAGTAAACTGGTGTATTGGGCCATTGTACTTCACAGTGGAAATTGTTCGCTCTAGGGACTGACCTACTTTTTTTATTATCTAGTTGTAATTATAACAAATCGCTCGTTCAACATTCTTGAATAAAGCTCCATCACATTTTATGATTATATAGGCCAAAAATGAAAGTCATTACACCACTAAACAACGGAATGTATTATATTTTTAGTCAAGGTAGTGTTTATAAACACCGAGATTCCTAAAGAATATCTTTAATCAATTACAATCTTCCACAAGCAGGGTTGGTACCACCCTGTTCACGATATCTTTGTTTGAAAATATTCATACTCTTTTATTTTGAGTTTTCAGTTAGAAAACCAACTCATTAAACTGAAAAAGTACAAAACAGTAGTTCAAGCATTAAATTTGCATTATACCGACACCGTAAATGTGGGTCATAGACCCACGAGTTCGATAATATAGAACATAAAATACATAAGTTAATATATTCATAATTGTAAGATTTATAAATTATCTTTATTCGTAAGTCCTACTTTTTCTGAATATCTAGGAAGGTAAATAAGAATAATTGATGCCATACGACTCTTATATGTCATTTTTCACCTGAGGTAACCTTCATAGTCGATGAATATCGTTGAAATTTTTTTGAGTTTTCATTTTCAGTACTTTGCAAACGTGTATGTTCGTGATGTATGTATTTTTAATTTTCTTGTTACTTCGAATTACAAGAAATCTACCGTGTTATGTAGGTTTTATAGAAATTAAATCTGCATTATATCGCCAATGATTGTTTGTTTGTTTGTTTGTTTTTGAATTTCGCGCAAAGCTACACGAGGGCTATCTGCGCTAGCCGTCCCTAATTTAGCAGTGTAAGACTAGAGGGAAGACAGCTAGTCATCATCACCCACCGCCAACTCTTGAGCTACTCTTTTACCAAAGAATAGTGGGATTGACCGTCACATTATAACGCCCCCACAGCTGAAAGGGCGAGCATGTTTGGTAGGACTGGGATTCGAACCCGTGACCTTCTGATTGCGAGTCGAGCGCCCTAACCACCTGGCCATGCCGGGCCATCGCCAATGACCAAGTTACGAATTGTAATTAGTAGGCCTACTTAATCACGTGTTCTATTGTAAATCACTGCTACCAGCGGTTTAGGAGGAGTTACGTGACGCACACATACAGACAGACACTGGATCTGAGATATAATCTCAGTGTTATACCGATCAATTTGTAGTCATATTTTGTTCCTCTTATAGTGTAATGGCCCAGCGGTCGACACACTTAAAAACTATAGATATTTACACTAAAACAGTAAATCTAAGAAGCACAACTTTCACCGATATCAGTGATTGGCTTAAGACTGACAAGGCAACAAACACAAAACTACTGTTTACTGTTCAGAATTAAATTAATTTACTTATATGTTTTTTTTTACTATATAATAAAATGCCACTACTAATTTAAAACTAAGGTTGTAATAATTAAGATGTTAAGAAAAGCATTTTGACAATTGAATATCATGCTTTATTTTTATTATTTACAATACTTAGACCATTACCCCTCTGTTACTTTTGTCCTTAGACCATTACCCCTCTGTTACATTTGTCCAGTAATGTGCATCACCAATTTACCAATAAAAGTTAACTTTTTGAAACTTTCTCATTGAGTCCAATAATAACAAGATTTTATTTCCTGTCTGTTCATTCTTTTAAAGCTTCTAGTATTCCTGAAAGCGACAATGGTTTAATTAAACGATATACGACATTTACAAACTTCAGAACAAATTACCTTCCTCATAGAGTAAGGTATTGTCCCTTGTATTTTATAAATCATACCACGAATTAAAAAAAGTAAATTTCCATTAACTTCACATGTTTGTTTTGAATTTCGCGCAAAGCTACACGAGGGCTATCTGCGCTAGCCGTCCCTAATTTAGCAGTGTAAGACTAGAGGGAAGGCAGCTAGTCATCACCACCCACCGCCAACTCTTGGGCTACTCTTTTA